TGTTAAGAACAACACTAACACCGTGGTCCCAAAATAAAACACTTAAAACAAAAGTTTCCAGAATAAAATGTATAAGTGTTTGAAAATATAAAATGTATAAGTGTTTTAAAAAGTATAAAACACTGAAGCGCTGTATCGCCACTCCAAATGTTCTGCTTCCTACTTCGTGGTCACGTGGTTACTTCCAAAAGCACCAAGCCCATCGGCCTGGGAGGCTGGAACCCCTTCTCTCAAAACCCCATGTAGTTATTCTGCACTAAAATCTCTGACACCCCAAAACGTCTCTGCTGCTGCTACTACCAATTCAATCTTCTGGGATTTCCTTTCCATCTGTGCGGTACAATTAATGCCCATAGCAATAAACGTCAAGAAGCCAACCTTACTAAAGCACACATTTTTCGGGTCACTCTGTACTGGCCTACTACTCACAGGGATCCTCTCAGGCTCCCTCACCCTTTGCCCACTATCCTTTTCTTTCCTCACTGCCTCAGCATATGACACTTTCTGCACTGCTCTCACCCTGGAAACTTCAACCTGTCTCGCACGTATAGGACATTTCTGGTCCCCAGCAACATGGCCACCCCCACAATTGAAACGACATACTCCTTTGTCCCATGCCCTCCTGCACACTTCTCACACCTCGGAATCTCCCTCCTACAATACTGCTGCAACATGACCATAAACTTGGCACCTGAACCGTAGTGGGTTCGGAACAAAAGCTCTCATGGGATAACTTCTATATCCTAGCATGACACTGCATCAAAACTCAGAAGGACAGACAGGGTCTCCTCAGTCTCACGCTCGCCACCGGGTCTGCGTCGCACCAAACGATGTGCATCACAGACACGGGGGATCCTCAACTTCAGTCAATCCAACTCAACGCCACCCCAGTTATCACTCCTTTCAGTGGCACTCTGCTCCGGAGAGCAATGCAGGACACAGCTCTCGTTGCGAAACGCGTAGCATCCTCTCCCTCTGGGCAGAAGACGCACAAAAAAAATCAACACAAGTCCACTTCTGGTTACTTTGACCGAATTGACAGAACCCAACTCCTTCTTCACTCAGCCTGATACCACAAATGGATCGGCCAAAAGGCATGGATCCACTTTCTCCATGAATCGTACTCCCACTTTCCTGTACTTGACCCAAAGGAGAAAGTACTTGGCTTGTATTTTTGCAGATGTCGGTTTGGGTTTGAACCTCGCACCCTTCTTTCTGCCTCGAGTCATCTCGCCATCCGCAATCTTCCTTCTCCCTAGCTTTAGTCCGTTTTTTATTCTCAAATAGTGTTTTATATCAACCATCTATTTTATAGAAAGTTTCATTTCCCCTGTGCCGTTTAGGTTACTTCAAGTTTAAAGGTCTATGGCCGAAAACCTATTCAGTCTAACAGGGTTGGACAGTTTTTATTGACCCATAAATTCCCAGAATAATGGGGGAGGGGTAGAAGGGGGGGTAGAAGGATTACTTTATCCTATCCCAGGTATTCCTTAAAGAGGTGGGGTTTCAAATGTCTCCGGAAGGTGGTGAGTGACTCCGCTGTCCTGGCGTCGTGAGGGAGCTTGTTCCACCATTGGGGTGCCAGAGCAGCGAACAGTTTTGACTGGGCTGAGCGGGAACTGTGCTTCCGCAGAGGTAGGGGAGCCAGCAGGCCAGAGGTGGATGAACGCAATGCCCTCGTTTGGGTGTAGGGACTGATCAGAGCCTGAAGGTACAGAGGTGCCGTTCCCCTCACAGCTCCGTAGGCAAGCACCATGGTCTTGTAGCAGATGCGAGCTTCAACTGGAAGCCAGTGGAGTGTGCGGAGGAGCGGGGTGACGTGAGAGAACTTGGGAAGGTTGAACACCAGACGGGCTGCGGCATTCTGGATGAGTTGTAGGGGTTTAATGGCACAGGCAGGGAGCCCAGCCAACAGCGAGTTGCAGTAATCCAGACGGGAGATGACAAGTGCCTGGATTAGGACCTGTGCCGCTTCCTGTGTAAGGCAGGGTCGTACTCTCCGAATGTTGTAGAGCATGAACCTACAGGATCGGGTCCCCGCCTTGATGTTAGCAGAGAACGACAGGGTGTTGTCCAGGGTCACGCCAAGGCTCTTCGCACTCTGGGAGGAGGACACAACGGAGTTGTCAACCGTGATGGCGAGATCATGGAACGGGCAGTCCTTCCCCGGGAGGAAGAGCAGCTCCGTCTTGCCAAGGTTCAGCTTGAGGTGGTGATCCGTCATCCATACTGATATGTCTGCCAGACATGCAGAGATGCGATTCGCCACCTGGTTATCAGAAGGGGGAAAGGAGAAGATTAGTTGTGTGTCGTCTGCGTAGCAATGATAGGAGAGGCCATGTGAGGATATGACAGAGCCAAGTGACTTGGTGTATAGCGAGAATAGGAGAGGGCCTAGAACTGAGCCCTGGGGGACACCAGTGGTGAGAGCACGTGGTGCGGAGACAGCTTCTCGCCACGCCACTTGGTAGGAGCGACCGGTCAGGTAGGACGTAATCCAAGAGTGAGCCGCGCCGGAGATGCCCAGCTCGGAGAGGGTGGAGAGGAGGATCTGATGGTTCACAGTATCAAAGGCAGCAGACAGGTCTAGAAGGACAAGAGCAGAGGAGAGAGAGTTAGCTTTAGCAGTGCGGAGAGCCTCCGTGACACAGAGAAGAGCAGTCTCAGTTGAATGACCAGTCTTGAAACCTGACTGGTTTGGATCAAGAAGGTAATTCTGAGAGAGATAGCAAGAGAGTTTGCTAAAGACGGCACGCTCAATAGTTTTGGAGAGAAAAGAAAGAAGGGATACTGGTCTGTAGTTGTTGACATCAGAGGGATCGAGTGTTGGTTTTTTGAGAAGGGGTGCAACTCTCGCTCTCTTGAAGACGGAAGGGACATAGCCAGCGGTCAAGGATGAGTTGATCAGCGAGGTGAGGTAAGGGAGAAGGTCACCGGAGATGGTCTGGAGAAGAGAGGATGGGATAGGGTCAAGCGGGCAGGTTGTTGGGCGGCCGGCCGTCACAAGTCGCAAGATTTTATCTGGAGAGAGAGGGGAGAAAGAAGTCAAAGCATAGGGTAGGGCAGTGTGAGCAGGACCAGCAGTGTCATTTGACTTAACAAACGAGGATCGGATGTCGTCAACCTTCTTTTCAAAATGGTTGACGAAGTCATCCACAGAGAGGGAGGAGGATTCAGCAGGGAGGAGAAGGTGGCAAAGAGCTTCCTAGGGTTAGAGGCAGATGCTTGGAATTTAGAGTGGTAGAAAGTGGCCTTAGCAGCAGAAACAGATGAAGAAAATGTAGAGAGGAGGGAGTGAAAAGATGCCAGGTCATGGACCATGGCTCCATCCTGGGTGAGAGGTGCCACCACTTCTTTGTAGATGTCTCCACACATGATCTCCAGCACGTCACAGTTGTTGCCCCCTGGGGGAGTGGTGCAGGTCTTGTTGGACTGGCTACAGACCATCTCAAATCAAATCAAATTGTATTGGTCACATACACGTGTTTAGCAGATGTTATTGCGGGTGTAGCGAAATGCTTGTGTTTCTAGCTCCGACAGTGCAGTAATATCTAACAAGTAATATCTAACAATTTCACAACATATACCCAATACACACAAATCTAAGTAAAGTAATGGAATTAAGAATATATCAATAATGTCAGAGCGGCATAGATTAAGATACAGTAGAATAGTATAGAATACAGTATATACATATGAGATGAGTAATGCAAGATATGTAAACATTATTAAAGTGTAAACATTATTAGTGTTCCATTTATTAAAGTGGCCAGTGATTTCTAATCTATGTATATAGGCAGCAGCCTCTAATGTGGTAGTGAAGGCTACTTAACAGTCTGATGGCCTTGAGATAGAAACAGTTTTTCAGTCTCTCGGTCCCAGCTTTGATGCACCTGTACTGACCTCGCCTTCTGGATGATAGCAGGGTGAACAGGCAGTGGCTCGGGTGGTTGTTGTCCTTGATTATCTTTTTGGCCTTCCTGTGTGCTGTAGGTGTCCTGGAGGGCTGGTAGTTTGCCCCCGGTGATGCGTTGGGCAGACCGTACCACCCTCTGGAGAGCCCTGCGGTTACGGGCGGTGCAGTTGCCGTACCAGGCGGTGATACAGCCCGACAGGATGCTCTCAATTGTGCAAAGGTTTGTGATGGTTTTAGGTGCCAAGCCAAATTTCTTCAGCCTCCTGAGGTTGAAGAGGCGCTGTTGCGCCTTCTTCACCACACTGTCTGTGTGGGTGGACCATTTCAGTTTGTCAGTGATGTGTACGCAGAGGAACTTGAAGCTTTCCACCTTCTCCACTGCGGTCCCATCGATGTGGATAGGGGGGTGTTCCCTCTGCTGTTTCCTGAAGTCCACGATCATCTCCTTTGTTTTGTTGACGTTGAGTGAGAGGTTATTTTCCTGGCACCACATCTCGGCCGTGTAGTTATGGAAACCGCCGGTGGAACGCCAGTATACATGCAGCGTGTTGTTTTCCATCCTGTACAGCTTCACGCCCAAAGGACAACAGGCACCTGGGAGGGGAGAGATGGTTCAGTCAGGCACTACAGTGGTAAATATGGACAGGGTGCAATGGTATGTGAATGTTAAAGTGTGTTTGACTATGAGGGGAAATATAGGGAAATGATCAAATCCTGGCACTCTTCTGTATCCATCATGTGTTTGTTTATGATTGTGAATGTGTCCAGTGATTCAGTATCCTGACCACTGCACTCTCATTTTGTTTCACTTGTAGCGAAACAGAATGTAAGCTCGCGAGATCAGGATGGTCGAAAGAGGCTAGTGATTCAGCTAGTACTTCTCCATCTGTTCACTCACCAACCCAACCAGTGGTCATTTGAAAGGCTTGGCTATGTTTGGTCAGTGTGCTTGTCACTCACAGGATGAGAAGCCATGATAGGTAAATATGTTTGTCACGCATTGGATGAGAAGCTGTCGTAGGTTAATGTATCTGTCACTCACTGGATGAGAAATTGTGGTAGGTTAATGTATCTGTCACTCACTGGATGAGAAATTGTGGTAGGTGCACTCAGACTTGTGTCCGGTGCGGCTGACGGCCTCCATACAGACGGTGTAGTTGGTTCCGCAGGTGATGCATCCCATCAGGCAGTTGTTGTCCAGGGTGTGGCAGAGGGCATGGTCCCTCGGTGAGGTAAGGGAGGTCACGTAGGTGTGAGCGCCTCTCGCCGCCGACCAGGTGACGTTGGTCATGGCCTGAGTCACCTGGTCAACGTTAAGGGTTCCCGGGCAACAGGGCGCTAGGGGACGAATGGAAAGCACAAATGTGAAACATTCACTTTAGTTTTAAAAAATCTAACTGTACATAGCTGAATGAAAAAGGTCAATGTTTTTTCACCACAACATCACCAGGAACAAGTGATACCAGTGGTCCAAACCAATTAACCAAAACCTTCCCCTCTCCCCATATGGTTTCCATGGTTCCCTACCTGTTTCCTGTGGAGTAGTGTAGCTGGGTAAACTGTTGGCCATGGCGGTGGTTGCTATGGTACTGACCTGGTAGACCTCGCCACAGGGCAGGTCATCTATCTCACAGGAGGTTCCGCTGGATGTATAGGTGTATGTGTTATCCTGTCCCACAACGCTCACTGTGTAGGTGGCTCCTGCTCTGTTGGCCATGCTCCAGGTGACGTTTGTCTGGGCGGGCAGGCAGGCAGGCAGGCAGGGGGTGAATATATATGCACTACCACTTTTCCGTAATTTATTTTTTAGAATTTTTTGAAGCAAGTTGTTTTTTTCACTTCACCAATTTGGACTATTTTGTGTATGTCCATTACATGAAATCCAAATAAAAATCCAGTTAAATTACAGGTTGTAATGCAACAAAATAGGAAAAACGCCAAGGGGGATGAATACTTTTGCAAGGCACTGTATTTGTTTGTCTGTGTTTGGGTGTTTATGGTTTGACTTTTAATTGTGTGATAGCCTACTTATCACTTTCACATAAGAAAACTGTAAAGTGCATATTTTTTTTGGGGTGGGATGGTACTGTTGTGTGCGAGTGTAATTACAATGTACTATATGACTGAGATCTGAGACTGACTCGCTCCCTCTCTTCTGCCTCTAAAGAACATCAAACCACCAAACCACAACAGATTAAACTGATGCTGGCTTGTTTTGGTACATGAAGACACCCAATAGGCTAACTAACTCCGTTCTCAACCCAGTTAGGTTTATTATTTGTGTTCATGGACAGGGGTCAGATATAATTACTCCAGATACAGGATAGATAACTCTCATCCTTAGGGCTGTAGGAGCATCTCACTATTAGAGGAAAGTACCGGATTTGCGCCACATCATCTGAAATCAGGTTTAAGGTCAGGTATACAGCTACTCTCCTTTCTAGGCTTTAATTTGTTTACGTCAGCGAAGAGATTGAGTGACTTATGGTGTGGGTACTGGAGATGAAGGTTGTCACTGTTTTCCCTACGAATGACTCATTTCTTTATACCAGGTTTACATGTGTTTTTATTTTCTTTCCCCAACAGTCAGTGAATGTGAGGTACAAGGGACAATAACTGTCTTTGCTACTGAAGGGAGGGAAGGCTGGCTCCTACCTCCGTGGTTGACAGACATGACACTGAGAGTGTAGTCGGTGTACGCCTGGAGGTTGAGCACGGTCCCGGGGGAAGGGGACACCTTGGTCTCTTGAGAAGGACAGGTCAAGAGTTCTCAGCACGCAGGATGTAGGAGGTGGCTCCGGTCACCTGAGTGAACTCCACGGTCATGCTCTCACTCTGCTTTGATGTTGCCATGTTGATGGTGGGCACCTCAGAAGCTACAGAAAAAACAAGAAGAGGGGATTATTGAGACTCAATTCAGGAACTACACACATGCAAATATAATGAGTGTAACCAGTTACACCACAATAATGTTTTCATACTGTAAGGGTTGGTGTGAGGTGTGACCCAGGTGCGGTGTAGGATAGACAGTAGGCAGTAGGCAGAGATGGTGAAACAAGGATCTTTACTGATGGTCCCGAAGCCAGGATACAAAATAACGGACTTTACACGAAAAAGAAAGGCGGAGCAAATAAGACTCCAAAATACAGTCAGACAGCCAAAATACGAAATACTAACTGTGACTGAAATAATAAATAAACAGGGAGAACACTTCTCACGTATCTGTCCATACGTCCCGCGATCAGACACTGATTAGTACTGCATGGCATAGTGAAACTAGCAGAGAAAACTGAGCAAGGGAACACAGGGAAGTGAAGGCATAAATACACAGGTGAACAGGTAGACACAGGTGACACCAATAGGATCATGATTAGTCAAGTCTGTGAGTGAGGATGTGCCTAAGGTTGTTGGAGGGTGACACCTAGTGGGTCGCTCCGGAACTGCGACCCCCTCCTGTAACACATACAGGAAAATCATTAATGATTTTATTCTTCACTATAAGCCCACTGTAAAGATATACTGTACACTGACTGTACAAAAAAATATGAACACCTGCTTTTTCCATGACACAGACTGACCAGGTGAATCCAGGTGAAACCTATGATCCCTTATTGATGTCACCTGTTAAATCCACTTCAATCAGTGTAGATGAAGGGGAGGAGACAGGTTAAATAAGGAATTTTAAGCCTTGAGACATGGATTGTGTATGTGTGCCATTCAGAGGGTGAATGGGCAAGACAAAAGATTTAGGTGCCTTTGAACGGGGTATGTAGGTGCCAGGCACACCGGTTTGTGTCAAGAACTGCAACGCTGCTGGGTTTTTCACGCTCAACAGCTTCCCGTTTGTATCAAGAATGGTCCGCTACCCAAAGGACATCCAGCCAACTTGACACAACTGTGGGAAGCATTGAAGTCAACACCTTATGAGAGTCGCTCTAAGGACAGGTTTTCTATCTTCCCGCATACTGTAGCTCAGATGAGAAAGAAAAACAGAACTGGCCCTGGATCAGAGATTAGTAACAGAATGTAATGTGATCACAACATAATGTATAGCCTATTGTTTCACCAACTTCTCCTAAAGGTCTCGTAGGAGACACAGACTCACCGGTGGTCTCGTCAACCTCAGCCTGGCTCAGAACAGTCAGGCCGTTATCCATGGCCTCAGCCTTAGTGATGTACATGGTCAGAGAGTTGATGGAGCCCATCACAGAGTTGGCACCGAACTGGGTAAAGGCGTCCAGGGAGTTCTTGGGGGTTGCTGTAATCTTGTAGGAACTGGTTCCTAAGTATCTGCTCCATCACACTGTCATGCTCTTAGATGTAACCCTGAATATCAACACTGTGATTTATATATGAGGAGAGAGAAAGAATCAGAGTTACTGGATTCATGTTGGATCAAATTAGAAAATATAGTATTACTAGTGCATACATGTACTACAATTCATTATAATTTATTTTAATAATCATGTATTTTTTTATAAATCCACTTTCATCCGACCATCATTATATGCTGCAGTTGAAAAATATAGACAGTTTAGTAATGTACATGTAATGTGACAAAAATATAAATGTTCTACCTGATGAAGTTGAACTCTGAAAGTGAAAACAGAAGAAAAAAACATATTTTACTACAAGAGAATGTGAAACTAATAACAAACAATGTTTATACCATGAGACATTTTATAAAATTCAAACAAGCACTTTTCTAGAATGAATGTGCCCAATTCAAGGCTAATCTTACAGTATACCTGATGACAGGTATGCCAGTCAATGACCCAGTGTTCTCTCTAAATAGCTCATTCCTTTTCTTCCAACAGACTATCCATGTTCTGCTGACGTTATGGCAATAGTACTGTATTGGAAATCTGTGATACATCCTAAGCCTACACAAATAGCACGAGTATATAGCATCATAGAAAATAAAAATTACCTGACAGCCTATGCCTAGCAAGGCAAAAATCACCATCCACTTGATAGCTCCCATTCTGTCTTTCTCTTCTTGATGTTATCCTTTTCTGTTGTAGTAGTGCTGTTGTTTCTTGCACTCCGGTGTTTCTCTCGAATAGTTGAGAGAAGTTATTTTGGAATTGCTTTTATATTTTATTTAACATATTTCTGATCTGTGTTGGTTGGAAAGAAGTATAGCGTACTCAACCAACGTGAGTAGAGGTGCAACCTAAAAATGTGTCATTGGACAGGAAAAAACGTAACGTTCGCTCACCATAAAACATTCTTAGTTTGATTAGACAAGTTTAAAAGATTGACGTTTTGGCGTTCAATGGCCTTCTTCAGATTCTGTGTTGGTTGAAACGCTGTACCTATATGTGTCCCCGCCCGCTGCTGCGAGGCACCCAATCATTGGCGTGGACAGAACAGTTACCTGCAGGCAGGCAGGTGTACCTGTAAGTAGGCTAGATCTGTTATAGAGGTTGCTTTGGTGACAATGCCACATAGGCTGATGGCAAAACTGGCACATCTTGATTATAATAAACAACACCAACAAAAACCTATTTTTATGGCCCATTGCATTTTTAAAATATATATATAGAGTGCAGTCAACATATTGGTATTCACTTCTTCTAAATGGTTTAATCATATGCTACATTCACTATTCTGAACACAGAAAACTAAAATGTCTCATAATTCGGACTACAGACCGCTGGCGCGCAGTTGTCGACACTGATGACGCACAAAGTACGGGACAGGGCAGGCGGCAGTGGAAATTGGAAACAAGAAACAAGATGGCAACTGGTTCAGAGCACGGGCTAAAAAGAGTAGTTTGGCAAAGTAAGTTAAACTGATTATGGCAACGTTTAACTACTCAAAATATCGGGCTTATTTTGAGCTAATAGTTACCTCAATTAAGTTATTCAGTTGACCTTTTGCAAAGTTGTGTTGTGCTCCTCTCTGACTTGTGACAATGAAATGTCAGCTAGCTTAAGTTCTGATACGGAAGTTTGCAAACTAGCTATGGGTGTCCGTGGCCAAAGAGTTCCGAGATCAACTTTAGTTTGTGACATTTTGGGTGTTTATCTACCTGGTGATTACAATTGCGATTCCTATTGATACTGTATCACTTGTTTGCACATGAATAGCAATGTGAAACCCCATCCAATTTGGTTCGTTAGTTAGCCATGTTAGCCAGCTAGCTAACTTTAGCTAACTCCACCTAGCTAGTAGGAGCGCAGCTGTTCTGGGCGGAAGGCTAGGTCATTGTATACACATTGGTCAGTGCACTGTAAACAAATATGAAAATAAAATGTCTGTGTAGGGTGGCTTTAGATAAGAGAAATAAGGTATGTCATTTATTGCTTTGCCAGTTGGATAATTTTTGGGAGGGGGCAGCTCTGTCAATAATAATGTAGCCTAGGGGTTGTCAACTATAACAGTATATACTGCCATTCATCTTTCAACTAGGAATAAAGGAAACGATCATCGAGGATTGCAAGAAGTCAGAAATATGGAAGGTAAAATAACTGGATCTGTTTATTTTGACACCACCCACTTGCATTATTGAATACATTGACTGCATTCCATCACCGTTATGTAAAGCCAATGTAGTTGGGTTAAGTGCTATATTCCCGACAGCATAATGTCCAGTCATTGTTTTGATACAATACATTCTCAAGCAGCAGTGTATGCTATGCTGATGACGTACATCTCTCTTGTCTTGTGTGCCACATACAACACATTGTCTGAATCAAAAGGTATCTTCATATCAAGGTCATAACATACATATTTTATTCCTCAGATATTGATATTGGACCACTTCACCACCAAGCTTCTGTCCTCATGCTGCAAAATGTCCGACTTGATGCAGGAGGGAATCACCAGTATGTCACACTAATTGAAATTATAATTGTATAATTTCCATAGATGTCTACTGCTTGGCCTTGTGTCCGGCCAATAGGGATTGTAACTATGATTTCAGACCCTAAATATTACTTTGGTTGTAATTGGAGAACCACATTGCAAGTGGTGGAAGTTTTCACACATCAAAGTGACGCTTCATGGAGTGGGGGTATGAAAAATTAGATCCCTGTAAGGCTGTCTGTTTTGTTATCAGTAGAACTGCTTATGAACTAATGTTACAAATAACCCAAGGCTACTTTGATTATGTTTTAAATGTCCAGTGCAGTCACTATGCTTTTGGAATAATACTGTGAAATTGTGAAAATTATGATAATGCCCTTATAGTGTAAGAACTGTTTGAAAAGACTGCCTGAAATTTCTGCCTGTTTTGATGGGATGGAGTTTTGACCTTCCGTGGTGACATCACCAAGCTGTAAATTAGTTAATAGACCAATAAGAAAGAGTTCCAAACCTCTCTGCCAATAACAGCTAATTTTCAGTTTTCCCATCCCCACTCAGACCACTCCCAGACAGTCCAAGCAAAATTACTGTTTGAGAAATTGCCCTTGGCTAAGAAGCAATTTGTGTCCTTTTGACCATTTTAATTGAAAACATTCACAGTAAGGTACTTAATTGTTGCACAGAAATGATTTGATATTGAGATTAAAACGGCTGCATTGGTATTATTGATATCTGCACCATGAACTGAAATGAAACTGTATTCTCTCTTAGTTGTGGAGGACATCTACAAAAGCAGAGAGCCTGTACTAGAAATGAAGGCCATCTACTTCATGACCCCTACAGCTAAGGTTCGACATTAGATATCTATACACCACACTCCACTAAAATATTGAAATGTCTACAGTGCATTCAGAAAGTATTCAGACCCCTTCCCCTTTTCCACATTTTGTTACGTTACAGCCTTATTCTAAAATGGATAAAATTCATATTTTTCCTCATCAATCTACAAACAATACACCATAATGACAAAGCGAAAACAGGTTTTTAGATTTTTTAGCAAATGTATAAAAAAAAAAAAAACATACTTTATTTACATAAGTATTCAGACCCTTTGCTATGAGACTCAAAATTGAGCTCAGGTGCATCCTGTTTCCATTTATCATCCTTGAGAAGTTTCTACAACTGTTTTTTACCTGTGGTAAATTCAATTGATTGGACATGATTTGTAAAGGCACACACCTGTCTATATAAGGTCCCACAGTAGACAGTGCCTGTCAGAGCAAAAACCAAGCCATGAGGTCGAAGGAATTGTCCGTAGAGCTCCGGGACAGGATTGTGTCGAGGCACAGATCTGGGGAAGGGTACCAAAACATTTCTGCAGCATTGAAGGTCCCCAAGAACACAGTGGCCTCCATCATTCTTAAATGGAAGAAGTTTGGAACCACCAAGAATCTTCCTAGAGCTGGCCGCCCGGCAAAACTGAGCAATCGGGGGAGAAGGGCCTTGGTCAGGGAGCTGACCAAGAACCCGATGGTCACTCTGACAGAGCTCCAGAGTTCCTCTGTGGATATGGGAGAACCTTCCAGAAGGACAACCATCTCTGCAGCACTCCACCAATCAGGCCTTTATGGTAGAGTGGCCAGACGGAAGCCACTCCTCAGTAAAAGGCAAATGACAGCCCGCTTTGCACCTAAAGGACTCTCAGACTGTGAGAAACAAGATTCTCTGGTCTGATGAAGCCAAGATTGAACTCTTTGGCCTGAATGCTCAGCGCCATCTCTGGAGGAAACCTGCCACCATCCCTACGGTGAAGCATAGTGGTGGCAGCATCATTCTGTGCCAATGTTTTTCAGCAGCAGGGACTGGGAGACTAGACGGGATCGAGGGAAAGATGAACGGAGCAAAGTACAGAGAGATCCTTGATGAAAACCTGCTCCGGAGCGCTCAGGACCTCAGACTGGGGCGAAGGTTCACCTTCCAACAGGACAACGACCCTAAGCACACAGCCAAGACAACACAGGAGTGGCATCGGGACAAGTCTCTGAATGTCCTTGAGTGGCCCAGCCAGAGCCCGGACTTGAACCCGATCGAACATCTCTGGAGAGACTTGAAAATAGCTGTGCAGCGACGCTCCCCATCCAACCTGACAGCGCTTGAGAGGATCTGCAGAGAAGAATGGGAGAAACTCCCCAAATACAGGTGTGCCAAGCTTGTAGTGTCATACCCAAGAAGACTCAAGGCTGTAATCGCTGCCAAATGTGCTTCAATAAAGTACTGAGTAAAGGGTCTGAATACTTATGTAAATGTCATATTTCTGTTTTTTTATTTTTAATACATTTTCAAAAATGTCTAAAAACCTGTTTTTGCTTCGTCATTATGGGGTATTGTGTGTAGATTGATGAGGGGTGGGGGGAACAATTTAATCCATTTTAGAATAAGGCTGTAACGTAACAAAATGTGGAAAAAGTCGAAGGGTCTGAATACTTTCCGAATGCACTGATCATTATTACAAACTAAACAATACAACTGTTATTCATGTGTACAAGGTTTGACAGTGTTGTGAATGTGTATTTGTAATGAAATATTTCCATACTGCGCTTAGTGTGTGGATGCCTTCATTGGTGACTTCAAGCTGAAACCCAAGTACAAAGCAGCATACGTTTATTTCACTGACTGTAAGTATATATACTGTAGGAAGGAGCATTTAGTCTTGATGCAAATCATTAGAAAAAGGTAGACCAATTTCATGAGTTGATTGTGAATTCTGGAACTAATTTTTTGAAATTATTTTTTTAGATTGTTCGGATGAGTTGTTCAACAAAATGAAACTATTCTGTGGAAAGTATATACGTGTCTGTAAGGAGTTAAACATTTCCTTCTTGCCCCAGGAGTCACAGGTAAGTGGTTGTTCGTCTCACGCTTTCTATAATTATCTTGTTTTATTCCTGACACTGACTCTTACAAAATCACTTTTACTATGTTGGTTAGATTATTCATGGTTGTTGGTCTGTGAGTGTCAGCTGGTGCTGGACTTCCGTAGGGCAAGAAAGGGAACAAAACCCTGGAAGGGCGTTGCTTATAATATAATGTAATACACTGAGGCAATCTGTCAACGCTATGATTCTCTAACGGAAAATCTGGATTGCGTAGCACATGTAGGTTTCATTATATTCAAAATACCTGTTTTATTGTCAAGAAAAAAAGCTTGATGGGTGTGACTGTGTTGGATTGTATGATGTCTTTTACCCCCCCCCCCCCCCCCCCAAAAAAAAAAAAAAATAGTTAGATGTTTATCAGTTGTTAAGAATGTAGGACTATGGGAAGATTTAGTCAGTTATTGTGTGTTGTTGGCACCTAGTATTTGAGAGTGAAACTGAACACAATGAACTCAGTCAAAAAATCTTGCCATTCAAAAATGGCGTACACACACAATAACATTTCAGGACGCTCCTCCTCTCATCCATGTGTAACATCATAATAATCCTTTTATGAAGAATATTTTATTGTTGGAATATCTGATCAGAATCGGTAGATAAAGCTGTATTACGCATGATCGGTTTATACCAATCCTTTATGTTTCAGGTGTTCACTTGTGATAACCCTGGGGCCTTCCGCAGTATCTACAGCCCTCACAGTAGTCAGGACAAAGCGAAGACACTGGAGACTCTGGCAGCCCAGATTGTCACTCTCTGTGCCACGCTGGACGAGAACCCAGGGGTCAGATACAAGAAGTGAGTCAGAGAGAGGAGATGAGAGCTTCTGCTTTCTCAGTTTACTCCTGACATCACTCCTTCTCCTCAGCCCCCAAGCACATTCTGAGTTTCTGATTCTTTATGGGAATAATAGTGAAGACATCAAAACTATGGAATCATGTAGTAACCAAAAAGTTTTTAAACAAATCAAAATATATTTTATATTTGAGATTCTTCAAATATCCACCCTTTGCCTTGATGACAGCTTTGCACACTCTTGGCATTCTCTCAACCAGCTTCACCTGGAATGCTTTTCCAATAGTCTTGAAGGAGTTCCCACATATGCTGAGCACTTGTTGGCTGCTTTTCCTTCACTCTGCGGTCCAATTCATCCCAAACCATCTCAATTGGGTTGAGGTCGGGGGATTGTGGAGGCCAGGTCATCTGATGCAGCACTCAATCACTCCCCTTCTTGGTCAAATAGCCCTTACACAGCCTGGAGGTGTGTTGGGTCATTGTCCTGTTGAAAAACAAATGATAGTCCCACTAAGCCCAAACCAGATGGAATGGTGTATCGCTGCAGAATGCTGTGGTAGCCATGCTGGTTAAGTGTGCCTTGAATTCTTAATAAATCACAGACAGTGTCACCAGCAAAGCACCCCCACACCAGAACACCACCTCATCCATGCTTTACGGTGGGAACTACACATGCGGAGAACATCTGTTCACTCACACCTCATCTAACAAAGACACAGCGGTTGGAACCAAAAATCTCAAATTTGGACTCCAGACCAAAGGACACATTTCCACCGGTCTAATGTCCATTGCTCGTGTTTCTTGGCCCAAGCAGGTCTCTTCTTATTATTGGTGTCCTTTAGTAGTGTTTTTTTTGCAGCAATTCGACCATGAAGGCCTGATTCACACAGTCCCCTCTGAACAGTTGATGTTGAGATGTGTCTGTGACTTGAACTCTGTGAAGCATTTATTTGGCCTGCAATTTCTGAGGCTGGTAACTCTAATGAACTTATCCTCTGTAGCAGAGGTAACTCTGGGTCTTCCATTCCTGTGGCGGTCCTCATGAGAGCCAGTTTCATCATAGCGCTTGATGGTTTTGCGACTGCTCTTGAAGAAACTTTCAAAGTTCTTGACATTTTCCGTATTGACTGACCTTCATATCTTAAAGTGATGATGGACTGTTGTTTCTCTTTGCTTATTTTAGCTGTTCTTGACATAATATGGACTTGGTCTTTTACCAAATAGGGCTATCTTCTGTATACCCCCTCTACCTTGTCACAACATTTACATTTAGTCATTTAGCAGACGCTCTTATCCAGAGCGACTTACAGGAGCAATTAGGGTTAAGTGCCTTGCTCAAGGGCACATCGACAGATTTTTCACCTAGTTGGCTCGGGGATTAGAACCAGCAACCTTTCGGTTACTGGCACAACGCTCTTAACCACTAAGCTACCTGCCGCCCCATTACACAACTGATTGGCTCAAACGCATTAAGAATGAAATAAATGCCACAAATTAACTTTTAAGAAGGCACACCTGTTAATTGAAATGCATTCCAGGTGAATACCTCATGAAGCTGGTTGAGAGAATGCCAAGAGTGTGCAAAGCTGTCAAGGCAAAGGGTGGCTATTTGAATAATCTCAAATATAAAATATATTTTGATTTGTTTAACACTTTTTTTGTTACTACATGATTCCATATGTGTTATTTCATAGTTTTGATGTCTTCACTATTATTCTACAATGTAAAAAATAGTAAAAATAAAGAAAAACCCTTGAATGAGTAGGTGTGTCCAAACTTTTGAGTGGTACTGTATATAATATAAATATATATATATTTGACTCTGCTGTTCTGTTAGTAATAACTTTTTTGTAAGATGTATCCGAAACATAATTGTATCAGAAACAAACAAAAAATGTTTGTCACCTTAACATCTATGACGGTCATACAGTATATAACTCATGCATAACCATGTATTTTGTCAGGGAGACCATGTTGGATAACACCACTCTGGATAATGCCAAACAGCTAGCAGCACTGGTGGATTACAAACTGACTAAGCACTACGATATGGACGACAACGGCAAGAAAAAGGTGAGGCGGCCATCTTGCCTGCTGTCAGCAGGGTGTTGACACAATAAATAAGGACTTAACCGAGAGCGTTAGAAAATTTGTTATGGAAATAGCTAGAGATGACGGACACCAGCCAATAGGCTACATAAAGACTATAGTGACATGGCCCTAGACGTCGTCTTGAAGTATTTAGTTGAAAGGTTAGCAGGGTAATTTGTGTTTGTTTGTGAAGTAAGTAATTGAAAAAACACAAGTTAGCGAGGCTAGCCACATACTGTAATAGTACAACACTACAAAGTGTAATACTACAATGTAAATGACACCTTTCTGTGTGTGTTGTGTGTTCCCCTTAGGGAAAGACCCAGGCCCAGCTGCTCATTGTAGAGAGGGGCTTTGACCCCGTGACCCCCATCCTACATGAGCTGACCTATCAGGCCATGGCCTACGACCTTGTCCCAATCAAGAACGACACCTACAAGTAAGACCCCAGCTCAGTCCCAGTACTATTTTTTAAAATTCTTTATTCAGATCCCCATTAGCTGGTGCCTTGGCGACTATTAGTCCTGTGGTCCTGTATAGCTCAGGTAGAGCATGGCACTTGCACCGCCAGGGTTGTGGGTTGGATTCCCGGGGCTACCCATACATAAAATGGATGCACGCATGACCGTAAATCGCTTTGGATTAAAATGTCTGCTAAATGGAATATATTTATTATTACTATTATTATTATATGATATATTATTAGTCTTCCTGTGGTCCACTCTCCCTTAGCAACCATTAGTCTTCCTCTGGTCCACTCTCCCTTAGCGACCATTAGTCTTCCTGTGGTCCACTCTCCCTTAGCGACCAATAGTCTTCCTGTGGTCCACTCTCCCTTGAACCCCTGCCTTGTGTTCTGTTTTCTTGTTCTCACTTGTTCTGGAATGTCTGAATGGGTCAAAAGCAATATGACAAAGGCAATATGACAAAGGCTTTCTGTATTCATTTAGAGCAGTCCTTCTCAAATAGTGGGGCGCGCCCCCCTGGGGGGGCTCGGAGCGATGCCAGGGGGGGGCGCGTGTGACCCCGGGGAACATGCTTTTTTTGCCGCAGGGAGTAGGGTTTTTTTGCACCGAACAAGAGCGCACAGAACAGGAGATATGAAGTGCAGATAACAAACCCTTAAGAGACACCATGGGAAAAAATTTAACAGGGATGAAAAGAAAGGCGGAGAGAGACGGAGATAATGAGACAAACGTAAGTCTCCCGAAAGCTAAGACGAGGAAATATGACGAAGCGTATGTAGCGCTTGGCTTCACTGTGACTACGGTGGGAGACGAGGAAAGACCGGTATGTATACTGTGTCTAAAAATGTTGGCAACGGACAGCATGAAGCCAAATAAATTAAGGCATCACTTAAAGACATTAAACCCCAATCACGCTGATAAGCCGCGAAAACGTGCCGAATATTGCCAACAATCGTCCCGCTTTGTGAATGCTACTTCAGTAAACCAGAGCTGATACTGCCTGCAGCATTAGACATGGTCTCTGTCATGCTGGATGATGCAAGTGCTGCAAAAATAAAGAATATCCCTCTGTCCAATGACACTGTCGCCAGACGTATAAATGACATTGCTAACGATCTTAAAGAACAGCTGGTAGATAAACTCAAAGACAAACGTTTTGCCTTACAGTTCGATGAAGCAACTGACGGCAACAAAGACTGTTTGTTTATCGCTTATGTACGTTTTGACATGACAAACTCCCTGTGTGAGGATCTACTTTTTTGTAAATATGTCAGAGACAGAGCCACAGCTGAAGAGCTATTCAAAATGCTGGACTGCTTTCTGACTGAGAATGGGCTAAAGTGGGAGAACTGCATTGGTGTTTGCAGTGATGGTGCACAGACCATGGCAGGGATGAGAAAAGGACTTTGGGCACTCATCAAGAAGGCCTCACCTAATGCTGAGTGGACACACTGTGTTATACACAGAGAAGCACTGGCATCAAGGCACCTTTCCTCTGAATTAAGTGAGGTTATGACTGACATTGTAGGTGTAGTCAATTTTATAAAGACCAGACCACTAAAAACAAGAGTCTTCTCTGCTATCTGTGAGGAGATGGGAGCAGAACATGAAGCTGTGCTGTTTCACAGTGAATCAAGGTGGCTGTCACGAGGAAAAGTATTGTCCCGAGTTTTTGAGCTCAGAGAGCAGATAAGAATGTTTTCGGAGCATGAGCACAAGTATGACCTCGCAGAAAAATTTAGTGATGAGAACTTCCTGGCAAAACTGGCCTACCTGAGTGACATATTTGGAAAGCTAAATGAACTAAATCTACAGCTTCAAGGGAAAGATAAACACCTCCCTCAGGTCACAGACAAGATCAGCTCTTTCACTCGAAAGCTTGCAATGTGGGGCAGGCGACTTGATGAAGGAAATACTGATTCATTCGAGAACCTGCATGAATTTGTTGACACTACTGACTATGATGCCACCTCAGTGATTCCATATATTAAGGAGCATATTTCATCTCTGATGGGATTCTTTAAAAAGTACTTCCCTGAAAACAGTTCCCAATATGACTGAGTGAGAGATCCTTTCAATGCACCAGCTCCAACTGGTTTCAGCTCTGCAGAGGAGAACCAGTTCATTGATATGACGTCTGACTCCACATTGAGACTGAGGTTCACATCACAGACACTGAGTGTAGAGAGGCAGTATCCACTCTTAGGGCAGAGGGCCATGGGCATTCTTCTTCCTTTTGCAACATCTTATCTTTGTGAGACTGGCTTCTCTGCTGTTGCTGCACTGAAGACCAAGTACAGGTCCCAGCTAAACATTGAGCAGGAGCTGAGAATTGCAGTATCATGCTTCAAACCCCGCTTCGAAAAGCTGTGCACTGCAAAACGTGCTCATTGTAGCCATTAATCCTGACTTCCTCATTTTGATAAAAAAAAATAAGCACAAATTGTTTTATTCATTTTTGTTTTATAGGTCAAAGTGTTTCATATATTGTGCTCCTGAGTTAATGTTGCGGATCAATTTGAATTTATTATTATTTATTGATTATATTTAATTTAATTTTTCCTTATATAAGGATTACATTTTTTGTTTGAATTTCAGGCAAATTGATGCACTTTAAGTATTTTCTGTTAGACTAAAAAACAATGTTAATAAAGTTATTCTTTGTAAGTTGATCTATATTTCTTTTTTTGTTTTCTTTAATGTTAATAAGGATACAATGTTATGCAGAGGTGTACTTATAACAATTTTATAGACAAATGATACTATTTACAGTCACGGCGGGGAGTTGGGGGGTGCAAAATGTTTACTTCTTCCTGGGGGGGGGGGGTAACAGAAAATAATTGAGAAGCACTGATTTAGAGGATAGCTGCCCAGTAGCTGGCTCCTAAGACATTTATACTGTTGACACCAAGTAATGTCTCTTTTGGCTAGCTGTGTGCTGTTCTTTTTGCTGCATACTGTAAACATAGACATACATATAATCCACCGCCATGATGATGTAAGATAAACGTTGTTCGTTCACTTGTTTTTCTGTCCAGATACAAGTCTAAAGAGGGTTCTGAGAAGGAGGCCCTGCTGAATGAGGATGACCAGCTGTGGGCCAGACTCAGACACATGCACATTGCTGAGGTGTCAGAGTAAGTATCTTTTTTTTCTTCTTACAAAATAATAGTTATAATGAATATAATTTGTTAACTATGTGCTTTATATTCTAGACAATTACCTAAGCTGGTGAAGGAAATTTCTGCCAACAAAAAACAGCCGGATGGAAAGGTAGGTAGCCATTTTAGCTTCTCCCTCCACCTCTGTTCCACATGAAACTAGAAAGCTTTCCTGTATCTGGTTTTGTCCTCTACCTCGAGTTCCCATTATTATTTTCTTCTCATCATTATTTTAAATGTTTTCTAGATCACAATAAGCGGTTTATCTCAGCTTATGAAGAAGATGCCCCACTTCCGCAAGCAGGTTGCTCAGGTACGTAGCACCAGGTGATCTTGTCTTCTCTGGTTGGCTCATTCTGATTGGTCTGCTCTGGTTGGCTCATTCTGATTGGTCTGCTCTGGTTGGCTCATTCTGATTGGTCTGCTCTGGTTGGCTCATTCTGATTGGTCTGCTCTGGTTGGCTCATTCTGATTGGTCTGCTCTGGTTGGCTCATTCTGATTGGTCTGCTCTGGTTGGCTCATTCTGATTGGTCTGCTCTGGTTAGCTCATTCTGATTGGTCTGCTCTGGTTAGCTCATTCTGATTGGTCTGCTCTGGTTAGCTCATTCTGATTGGGCTGCTCTGGGTGGCTCATTCTGATTGGTCTGTTAGGGTCGGGTGTGATGCCTTCGAGGCCCTGTATCATGTGGTGCTTTCTTCACCTGGTGTCTATGGAAACGATACTGTGAAGGAACTGGTAACTCCCCTATTATGTGACTGGGTTTATATAGAAATTAAAGCTGTTCACTTATACTACCATGTGGGGAAAAAATGTATTGATATTAGAATAAAAACACCAGCCATGTTTCAATGTCAACCACAGAAAACGGTCCATCTGAATTTGACTGAAGACTGTATGAACCACTTCCAGAAGAACGTGGAGAAACTATGCAAAGCTGAGCAGGTATGTTTTACACTGTCTCATACGTATGTCTAAAATGTCACTGTGGTTCCTGAGTGATGTTATGTCTTCGCTGTTGTATAGGACCTGGCAGTAGGGTCTGATGTGGAGGGTGTGAAGGTGAAGGACCCCATGAGGACACTGCTCCCTGTCCTGCTGCACCCCCATGGCACCTACGACAAGATCAGAGCTGTTCTCCTCTACATCTTCAGCCTCAATGGTGGGTCTGCTGCTCTGACACAACCTGCACCCTCACAATCTCAAAGTCTTTATATTTACATGTGATCATTTAGTCACTTTTATATGGCATCTATAACATTGAAAATGTAATGAAAGTCTACGGTTTGAAAATGGAAGGTCATGAATTCCTTATTTGTCCCTTGACTAAGGTACCGTTGGAGCTTCAGCCATAGGAATATTCCTTCAATAGAATCTATTTTAATTTGGCCTGAGGTAACTTTAGTCAAATAACCTTTTTAAAACCTTTTTCTTTCTGGTTCTGAACAGGCACAACAGAGGAAAACCTGAACAAACTCATCCAGCACGTTAAGATCGAGGAGGACCGAGAGTTCATTCTCAACTGGAGAGAACTGGGAGTCCCCATCATATCTTCGGTAAATGAGACGTTATAGGGCATACTGTACGTAGTTTACTAGATCTTAGCAGGCTCATAGCCCAGGTGGATTCTACAGTACCATCATTGTGTATTGTATAGTAGTGTGGTCCTTCACTAGTTTTATGGGGTTGTGTACTTTCTTTCTTGCAATTCTCCTTTTGTATCTTCTTACCTTAAACTGGGCTTTTATTTATTGTTGTTCCTCTTTTGTCTCTCTCTCTCTCTCTCTCTCTCTCTCTCTCTCTCTCTCTCTCTCTGTCTCTCTGTCTCTCTGTCTCTCTCTCTGTCTCTCTCTCTCTCCCCTCCACCCAGCCGAGCTTCTTCCCACTGCGTAGGTCGTCTCGAAGGGACCGCACTCAGGAGGAGACATACAACCTGTCCCGATGGACACCTGTTATCAAAGACGTGATGGAGGTCGGTGTGATGATAACGATGATAAACCGTTTCCTATCTCACAGAACAGAACTGTGTCACTTAGCTTTTCTCTGGGAGGGAGGGAGTCACGGGGTGTACACAGTCCTTTTCTGGGTCCCTGTGCTACTTAACTCTGTGTCCATGGCATCTGTGTGAAACAGTGGATCGAGGCTCTATAAGCGTGACAAAAGAAGTGATCTGATTCAGGTCATCTGATACAGTATGATCATGTGTTATTCTATATGCTGGACTGTGCTAGCCTATGCTGTGCCTGTACTATTGTGTGTTGGTCCCTGGGGCAAAACCAGACACATTGTGACCCACTTGTTGATGGCAACTGACCCTCTCTGCTAGCCCCTCAAATCTTACCTCTTGTATGGGTTGTTACATGCTTCCCTATATGTGAGATTAACAATACTTCCAGAGTTTGGGACTACAAGGTTCTGCAAAAATGATGATTCTGAGATTATTGGCTTTAAAGTTCCAAACCCCTCATTGGTTTGAATGGTGTCAGCGGTTTTTGTCTTGAATTCTTTTGAACTTGAATGTGGTTATTTAGAGTACAGTATAGGTAGAGAACATTGAACAGAACAAGGCTATATCAATAACTCAGTTTTGACAAAAATGCAGATAGAACCTTATAGTCCCAAGCTCTGGAATGGGCTGAGTTTGAGGCAACGTTCCAATATGCAGGTAACTGCCAAAAAAAGGAAGTCCTTGATGAAATAAGGGATACAAAGCAGGTGCTTACACAAAGGTGGAACATCCCATCATGCTTAGGGTCATGGATAAAAATGCCCAGTTACCATGGCTAGAAGAAGATATCTCAGTGACTTTGAAAGAGTAGGGGGGGGGGGGGGGGGGGGGTTCATTTAGCAATTTGATTTATAATTTTAGGACCCCTTTAGGTATCCCCCCCCAACAGTTAAAGAAAGCTTAGGAAATATTTGTATTTTTTTTTACACATATTTAACCACTTATTTTTGTTGCCACAAAACTACATCCATACTTCCATTTGTTTGTATGGGTTACCTTCAGACGAGTCCCATCACACTTGTGGGGGTCGTAAAGCAAAATGGAGAACACCATCGTGTTCGTGAGAGTCTCCCTTAGTCATATTAGTTTGTATGACAAACCATTCGGACGCTAGACGTTTCCGTGAGAAGACCGATTTTCAGGATGTCTCATGATCTGACAAACACCGCTGTAGCTCGGCCACCTTCCACCGCAGATGCAGAAGGCCGACATGTAGTGGATTGAGATGCAGCCCATGCAAAAAAAACAATATCTCTAGCTTAAACGGATGGATTTTGATGGGGATTTTTGTATTATGTTACTTAGATTGACACACAGGGATGGTAGCTCTCCAGGAACAGGGTTGGAGAGTCCTGCCCTAGACACTATCGTGCGTGAAAAGCCCAGGAGGGCGGACGTTTCTGAGATACTGGATCCGGCACACCTGGCCCCGACGATCATACCACACTCGAAGTCGCTTAGGTCACTCGTTTGACCCATTCTAACGTTCAATTGAACAGTAACTGAATGCCTCGATGCCTGTTTGCCTCCTTTATATAGCAAGCCAATGCCACGTGACTGTCTGTAGGAGCGATCCAGTTTCCTGAATGGGGTGAGTGTATATAGGCCGGTGAGTGTATGTAGTCCGTGTAGCCATTTAATGAACTATTTAGGAGTCTTATGGCTATTTAGCTTCAACCCCCAAGCCATAAGACTGCTATCTCGGAGCCTGTTGGTCCGAGAGCCAATGCGCCGGTACCGTCTGCCAAACATTAGCAGAGGGAACAGGTAATGGCTTGGGTGGCTGAAGTCTTTGGCAATTTTTCGGGCCTTCCTCTGACACATGTAGAGGTCCTGGATGGCAGGTAGCTCAGCTCCAGTGATGTACTGGGCCATCTGCACCACCCTCTGTAGCGCTTTGTGGTCGAGGGCAGTACATTTGCCATACCAAGTGGTGATGCAGCCAGTCAAGATGCTTTCTGGTGCAGCTGTAAAACAAGATCCCAGGGCCCATGCCAAATTTTTTCATCCTCCTGAGGGGGAAGAGATGCTGTCGTGCCCTCTTCACAACTATGCGGGTGTGTACAGTAGGGGACTTAGCACGCACCCCTGAGGGGCCCTTGTGTTGCCTACCCTCACCACCTGGGGCTGGCCCGTCAGGAAGTCCTTATCGAATTCCGAGGCGCATATTGAAGATGTTAGAAGAACTGTCTACATTTACTTTTCGTCAGTCAAGAAGATGAGTAGGTCTAACGAACAGCAAAAGCACTAGCCTATCTAAATCTACTATCCTCCATAGTACAAACGTTGATCTATTCTATTGGTCAGCTTGTGCTTCTGTGTGATAAATACATATTCCAGAACATACTCTGGGACAGTTGTGGGACACAATAGGTCCCAAATTAATACAACCACTGTACATCAAAAAACCTTTGACATTTTTTATTTCTTTATTTCACCTTTTATTTAACCAGGTAAGCCAGTTGAGAACAAGTTCTCATTTACAACTGCGACCTGGCCAAGATAAAGCAAAGCAGTGCGATAAAAACAACAACAGTTACATATGGGGTAAACAAAACAAAGTCAAAAATACAACAGAAAAAATATATACAGTGTGTGCAAATGTAAGTTATGGAGGTAAGGCAATGAATAGGCCACAGTGCAAAATAGTTACAATTTCGTATTAACACTGGAATGATAGATATGCAAAAGATGATGTGCAAATAGAGATACTGGGGTGCAAAATAAATAACAATATGGGGATGAGGTAGTTGGGTGGGCTAATTTCAGAATGGCTGTGTACAGGTGCAGTGATCGGTAAGCTGCTCTGACAACTGACGCTTAAAGTTAGTGAGGGAGATAAGTCTCCAGCTTCAGAGATTTTTGCAGTTCGTTCCAGTCATTGGCAGCAGAGAACTGGAAGGAATGGCGGCCAAAGGAGGTGTTGGCTTTGGGGATGATCAGTGAGATATACCTGCTGGAGCGCAGACTACGGGTGGGTGTTGCTATGGTGAACAGTGAGCTAAGGTAAGACAGGGATTTGCCTAGCAGTGATTTATAGATGACCTGGAGCCAGTGGGTTTGGCGACGAATATGTAGTGAGGGCCAGCCAACAAGAGCGTACAGGTCACAATGGTGGGTAGTATATGGGGCTTTGGTGACAAAACGGATGGCACTGTGATAGACTACATCCAATTTGCTGAGTAGAGTGTTGGAGGCTATTTTGTAAATGACATCGCCGAAGTCAAGGATCGTTAGGATAGTCAGTTTTACGAGAGCATGTTTGGCAGCATGAGTGAAGGAGGCTTTGTTGCGAAATAGGAAGCCGATTCTAGATCTAACTTTTGATTGGAGATGCTTAATGTGAGTCTGGAAAGAGAGTGTACAGTCTAACCAGACACCTAGGTATTTGTAGTTGTCCACATACTCTAGGTCAGACCCGCCGAGAGTAGTGATTCTAGTCGGGTGGGCGGGTGCAAGCAGCGTTCGGTTGAAGAGCATGCATTTAGTTTTACTAGTGTTTAAGAGCAGTTGGAGGCTACGGAAGGAGTGTTGTATGGCGTTGAAGCTCGTTTTGGAGGTTTGTTAACACAGTGTCCAATGAAGGGCCAGATGTATACAAAATGGTGTCGTCTGCGTAGAGGTGGATCCGAGCGTCACCAGCAGCAAGAGCGACATCATTGATATACACAGAGAATAGAGTTGGCCCGAGAGTTGAACCCTGTGCCACCTCCATAGAGACGGCCAGAGGTCCAGACAACAGGCCCTCCGATTTGACACATTGAACTCTATCTGAGAAGTAGTTGGTGAACCAGACGAGGCAGTCATTAGAGAAACCAAGGCTATTTAGTCTGCCAATAAGAATGCGGTGGTTGACAGAGTCGAAAGCCTTGGCCAGGTCGATGAAGACTGCTGCGCAGTACTGTCTTTTATCTATCGTGGTTATAATATAATTTAGGACCTTGAGCGTGGCTGAGGTGCACCCATGACCAGCTCGGAAACCGGATTGCATAGCGGAGAAGGTACGGTGGGATTCGAAATGGACGGTGATCTGTTTGTTAACTTGGCTTTCAAATACTTTCGAAAGGCAGGGCAGGATGGATATAGGTCTGTAACAGTTTGGATCTAGAGTGTCACCACCTTTGAAGAGGGGGATGACCGCGGCAGCTTTCCAATCTCTGGGGATCTCAGACGTTACGAAAGAGAGGTTGAACAGGCTAGTAATAGGGGTTGCGACAATTTCGGCGGCTAATTCTAGAAAGAAAGGGTCCAGATTGTCTAGCCCAGCTGATTTGTAGGGGTCCAGATTTTTCAGCTCTTTCAGAACATCAGCTGTCTGAATGCAGCGGAGGGTGCAGAGCTGGTGGCCGGGGTAGTGGTAGCCAGGTGGAAAGCATGGCCAGCCGTAGAAAAATGCTTGTTGAAATTCTTGATTATTGTAGATTTATCTGTGGTGAGTGTTTCCTAGCCTCAGTGCAGTGGGCAGTTAGGAGGATGTGCTCTTATTTTCCATGGACTTTACAGTGTCCCAAAACTTTTTGGAGTTTGAATGGGGCATGCTTATTTAAGATTGAGAGGAAAGCACTTTTAAAGAACAACCAGGCATCCTCTACTGACAGAATGAGGTCAATATCCATCCAGGATACCCGGGCCAGGTCAATTAGAAAGATGCAATGAGGCTGATGCAACGGATCAGAACGTTTAGCTTAAAATGTTGATAGACTATTAGGCTATTTCTTCACATTATAAGCGCAGCAATGTACACACAGCAGTAGGCTATAAGCGCGAATGTTCCAAAATGCAATTAGCAGTAAAACACTGTTCTCAAAAGTGCACCGCAAATGCGAGCGGTTTCATATGACAGAGATGAAAATATCCTTCAGATATGTAGAAAGAGGGAAGATCTAAAGACGCAACAACTAGCATGGGTTGTTAATATGACTAGGATTGTGTCTTTGGCTGCTGGACAATGAAAGAAAGTTGAGAACATGAGAGAAATATTGGTTTCAATGGCATATGAGGAAGTGTTTATCAAAGAATCCCCTTAACATTCCTATTGTCGGAACATGGTAAGACATGCCTCATAAAAAATAAACGTCCAGGTTTTAAGTAATTATGTTTAGTTAAATAGTTTCAAAATGTTGACTGCCTCTGCTCAGATTGCAAGATGGGTGATGTTGCGGTGCGCAACAGGCACTGGCCTTTATCTCCTATCAGAAAGAACAGTGCCTCAAGTTGGTCACAGAATCAAGCCTTTAGATAGAGGGATGTGTTCAGTCCCAGGGTCCTGCACTTGGAGGGGACTATGGTGTTGAGCTGATGTTGCTGTTTCCTTTATTTTGGCAGTTACCTACAGTGAGGGAAAAAAGTATTTGATCCCCTGCTGATTTTGTACGTTTGCCCACTGACAAAGACATGATCAGTCTATAATTTTAATGGTAGGGTTATTTGAACAGTGAGAGACAGAATAACAACAAAAATATCCAGAAAAACGCATGTCAGAAATGTTATAAATTGAAATGCATTTTTATGACGGAAATACGTATTTGACCCCTCTGCAAAACATGATTTAGTACTTGGTGGCAAAACCCTTGTTGGCAATCACAGAGGTCAGACGTTTCTTGTAGTTGGCCACCAGGTTTGCACACATCTCAGGAGGGATTTTGTTCCACTCCTCTTTGCAGGTCTTCTCCAAGTCATTAAGGTTTCGAGGCTGACGTTTGGCAACTCGAACCTTCAGCTCCCTCCACAGATTTTCTATGGGATTAAGGTCTGGAGACTGGCTAGGCCACTCCAGGACCTTAATGTGCTTCTTCTTGAGCCACTCCTTTGTTGCCTTGGCCGTGTGTTTTGGGTCATTGTCATGCTGGAATACCCATCCACGACCCATTTTCAATGCCCTGGCTGAGGGAAGGAGGTTCTCACCCAAGATTTGATGGTACATGGCCCCGTCCATCGTCCCTTTGATGTGGTGAAGTTGTCCTGTCCCCTTAGCAGAAAAAAACACCCCCAAAGCATAATGTTTCCGCCTCCATGTTTGACGGTGGGGATGGTGTTCTTGGGTTCATAGGCAGCATTCCTCCTTCTCCAAACACGGCGAGTTGAGTTGATGCCAAAGAGATCGATTTTGGTCTCATCTGACCACAACACTTTCACCCAGTTCTCCTCTGAATCATTCAGATGTTCATTGGCAAACTTCAGACGGGCCTGTATATGTGCTTTCTTGAGCAGGGGGACCTTGCGGGCGCTGCAGGATTTCAGTCCTTCATGGCGTAGTGTGTTAACAATTGTTTTCTTGGTGACTATGGTCCCAGCTGCCTTGAGATCATTGACAAGATCCTCCCGTGTAGTTCTGGGCTGATTCCTCACCGTTCTCATGATCATTGCAACTCCACGAGGTGAGATCTTGCATGGAGCCCCAGGCCGAGGGAGATTGACGGTTCTTTTGTGTTTCTTCCATTTGCGAATAATTGGACCAACTGTTGTCACCTTCTCACCAAGCTGCTTGGCAATGGTCTTGTAGCCCATTCCAGCCTTGTGTATGTCTACAATCTTGTCCCTGACATCCTTGGAGAGCTCTTTGGTCTTGGCCATGGTGGAGAGTTTGGAATCTAATTGATTGATTGCTTCTGTGGACAGGTGTCTTTTATACAGGTAACAAACTGAGATCAGGAGCACTCCCTTTAAGAGTGTGCTCCTAATCTCAGCTCGTTACCTGTATAAAAGACACCTGGGAGCCAGAAATCTTTCTGATTGAGAGGGGGTCAAATACTTATTTCCCTCATTAAAATGCAAATCAATTTATAACATTTTTGACATGCGTTTTTCTGGATTTGTGTTGTTGTTATTCTGTCTCTCACTGTTCAAATAAACCTACCATTAAAATTATAGACTGATCATTTCTTTGTCAGTGGGCAAATGTACAAAATCAGCAGGGGATCAAATACTTTTTTCCCTCACTGTATATACAGTGCCTTGCAAAGGTATTCATCCCCCTTGGCGTTTTTCCTATTTTGTTGCATTACAACCTGTAATTTAAATAGATTTTTATTTGGATTTCATGTAATGGACATACACAAAATAGTCAAAATTGTTGATGTGAAATGAAAAAAATAACTTGCTTCAAAAAATTCTAAAAAATAAATTACAGAAAAGTTGAGTGCATATGTATTCACCCCCTTTGCTATGAAGCCCCTAAAGAAGATCTGGTGCAACCAATTACCTTCAGAAGTCACATAATTAGTTAGATTGCACACAGGTGGACTTTATTTACAGTTTAAGTCAGAAGTTTACATAAACTTAGGTTGGAGTCATTAAAACTCGTTTTTCAACCACTCCACAAATTTCTTGTTAACAAACTATAGTTTTGGCAAGTCGGTTAGGACATCTACTTTGTGCATGACACAATTAATTTTTCCAACAATTGTTTACAGACATTATTTCACTTATAATTCACTGTATCACAATTCCAGTGGGTCAGAAGTTTACATACACTAAGTTGACTGTGCCTTTAAACAGCTTGGAAAATTCATGGCTTTAGAAGCTTCTGATAGGCTAATTGACATCATTTGAGTCAATTGGAGGTGTACCTGTGGATGTATTTCAAGGCCTACCTTCAAACTCAGTGCCTCTTTGCTTGACATCATGGGAAAATCTAAAGAAATCAGCCAAGACCTCAGAAAAAATATTGTAGACCTCCACAAGTCTGGTTCATCCTTGGGAGCAATTTCCAAACGCCTGAAGGTACCACGTTCATCTGTGCAACCAATAGTACGCAAGTATAAACACCATGGGACCACGCAGCCGTCATACCGCTCAGGAAGGAGACGTGTTCTGTCTCCTAGAGATGAACGTACTTTGGTGTGAAAAGTGCAAATCAATCCCAGAACAACAGCAAAGGACCTTGTGAAGATGCTGGAGGAAACAGGTACAAAAGTATCTATATCCACAGTAAAACAAGTCCTATATCGACATAACCTAAAAGTCTGTTCAGCAAGGAAGAAGCCACTGCTCCAAAACCGCCATAGAAAAGCCAGACTACGGTTTTCATCTGCACATGGGGACAAAGATCGTACTTTTTGGAGAAATGTCCTCTGGTCTGATTAAACAAAAATAGAACTGTTTGGCCATAATGACCATCATTATGTTTGGAGGAAAAAGGGGGTGGCTTGCAAGCCGAAGAACACCATGCCAACCGTGAAGGACGGGGGTGGCAGCATCATGCTGTGGGGGTGCTTTGCTGCAGGAGGGACTGGTGCACTTCACAAAATAGATGGCATCATGAGGAAGGAAAATTATGTGGATATATTGAAGCAACATCTCAAGACATCAGTCAGGAAGTTAAAGCTTGGTCGCAAATGGGTCTTCCAAATGGACAATGACCCTAAGCATCCTTCCAAAGTTGTGGCAAAATGGCTTAAGGACAACAAAGTCAAGGTATTGGAGTGGCCATCACAAAGCCCTGACCTCAATCCTATAGAAAATGTGTGGGAAGAACTGAAAAAGTGTGTGCGAGCAAGGAGGCCTACAAACCTGACTCAGTTACACCAGCTCTGTCAGGAGGAATGGGCCAAAATTCACCCAACTTATTGTGGGAAGCTTGTGGAAGGCTACCCGAAACATTTGACCCAAGTTAAACAATTTAAAGGCAATGCTACCAAATACTAATTGAGTGTATGTATACTTCTGACCCACTGGGAATGTGATGAAATAAATAAAAGCTGAAATAAATCATTCTCTCTACTATTACTACTATTTCACATTCTTAAAATAAAGTGGTGATCCTAACTGACCTAAGACAGGGAATTTTTACTAGGATTAAATGTCAGGAATTGTGAAAAACTGAGTTTAAATGTATTTGGCTAAGGTGTACGTAAACTTCTGACTTCAACTGTAAGTGTCACATGATCTCAGTATATATACACCTATTCTGAAAGGCCCCAGAGTCTGCAACACCACTAAGCAAGGGGCACCTCCAAGCAAGCGTCACCATGAAGACCAAGGAGCTCTCCAAACAGGTCAGGGACAAAGTTGTGGAGAAGTAAAGATCAGGGTTGGGTTATAAAAAAAATCAGAAACTTTGAACATCCCACTGAGCACCATTAAATCCATTATACATTTTTTTAAAGAATATGGCACCACAACAAACCTGCCAAGAGAGGGCCACCCACCAAAACTCTCGGACCAGGCAAGGAGGGCATTAATCAGAGAGGCAACAAAGAGACTGAAGATAACCCTGAAGGAGCTGCAAAGCTCCACAGCGGAGATTGGAGTATCTGTCCATAGGACCAATTTAAGCCGTACATTCCACAGAGCTGGGCTTTACGGAAGAGTGGCCAGAAAAAAAGCCATTGCTTAAAGAAAATAAATAAGCAAACACGTTTGGTGTTCGCCAAAAGGCATGTGGGAGACTCCCCAAACATATGGAAGAAGGTACTCTGGTCAGATGAGACTAAAATTGAGCTTTTTGGCCATCAAGGAAAACGCTATGTCTGGCGCAAACCCAACACCTCTCATCACCCCGAGAACACCATCCCCACAGTGAAGCATGGTGGTGGCAGCATCATGCTGTGGGGATGTTTTTCATCGACAGGGACTGGGAAACTGGTCAGAATTGAAGGAATGATGAATGGCGCTAAATACAAGGAAATTCTTGAGGGAAACCTGTTTCAGTCTTCCAGAGATTTGAGACTGGGACAGAGGTTCACCTTCCAGCAGGACAATGACCCTGAGAATACTGCCAAAGCAACACTCTAGTGGTTTAAGGGGAAACATTTTAAATATCTTGGAATGGTCTAGTCAAAGCCCAGACCTCAATCCAATTGAGAATCTGTGGTATGACTTAGATTGCTGTACACAAGCGGAACCCATCCAACTTGAAGGATCTGGAGCAGTTTTGCCTTGAAGAATGGGAAAAAATCCCAGTGGCTAGATGTGCTAAGCTTATAGAAACATACCCCAAGAGACTTGCAGCTGTAATTGCTGCAAAAGGTGGCTCTACAAGTATTGACTTTGGGGCGGTGAATAGTTATGCACGCTCAAGTTTTCTGTTTTTTTTGTCTTCTTGTTTGTTTCACAAGAAAAAATATTTTGCATCTTCAAAGTGGTAGGCATGTTGTGTAAATCAAATGATACAAACCCCCAAAACCCCCCCAAAATCAATTTTAATTCCAGGTTTAAGGCGGCAAAATAGGAAAAATGCCAAGCGGGGTGAATACTTTCGCAAGCCACTGTATACTAGCATACCACTTAGAATGAAGCAATGTTTTTGACTGTGGTATCTAAAGTGCATTCGGAAAGTATTCAGACCCCTTCCCCTTTTCCACATTTTGTTACGTTACAGCCTTATTCTAAAATGGATTACAAATTAAAAACAGAAATACCTTATTTACATAAGTATTCAGCCCCTTTGCTATGAAACTTGAAAATTGAGCTCAGGTGCATCTTGTTTCCATTGATCATCCTTGATGTTTCTACAACTTCATTGGAGTCCACCTGTGGTAAATTCATTTGATTGGACATGATTTGTAAAGGCACACACCTGTCTATATAAGGTCCCACAGTTGACAGTGCATGTCAGAGCAAAAACCAAGCCATGAGGTCGAAGGAATTGTCCATAGAGCTCTGAGACAGGATTGTGTCGAGGCACAGATCTGGGGAAGGGTACCAAAAACATTTTGCAGCATTGAAGGTCCCCAAGAACACAGTGGCCTCCATCATTCTTAAATGGAAGAAGTTTGGAACCACCAAGACTCTTCCTAGAGCTGGCCGCCTGGCCAAACTGATCAATCAAGGGAGGAGGAGGTTACCAAGAACCCAATGGTGACTTTGACAGAGCTCCAGAGCTCCTCTGTGGAGATGGGGGGGAACCTTCCAGAAGGACAACCATCTCTGCAGCACTCCACCAATCAGGCCTTTTATGTTAGCGTGGCCAGACGGAAGCCACTCCTCAGAAAATTGAGTGTCGGGTCAATTGAGGCTATAGTTTGGTTTATTGGGTATTGAAAAGCTAGGTTGCACACTATGTTCTGATTTTCAATATTATTTTATATTCCTAAATTGGCTCTTGGCTGTTTCGATTGAGGCTGGTAAGTGTATAACTCCGTCATTAAACACAAATAAAATTCCAGCTATGGGAAGGAAGTTCATTGAGGACTTTCCTGTACATTGCGTTTCTTCTCAGAAAGGGACAGGCAACTGAGAGGGATAGGGTTATTCAAATGGCCCCTAGCTCAAAAGGTTAAAATTCAACTCATTTCAGTAAGTCTTGTTTGTGCAGTTTAGGTCCCTCAGGCATAGAACATTGGACACTAGAGACTGTTAGCAATAAACAGTATAGAAATTGTGAATTGAACACAGGCACTGATTACTCTCTACCCATAACAATACAACTGATTTAGGATCAGTTATCCCAATGGCTGATACCAGCCTACACCTAACTATTATGAACTAAGGCTATGCAACACAACCAGCCGTGGACCTGCAATAAGTGACCAAATGTCCTGGGCCCATTGTCCAGTGACTGCCTCCCCACCATCATGACAACTGAATGAGTTGTAGTGTATGATTGACATCCTGTATTGATTTAAGACTTTGTGTGTGATGTGTGGTGTTCCAGGATGCTGTGGAGAACAAGCTGGAGACCAGGGAATGGCCACACCAGTCAGAGTGCCCAGCAGCCTGGAATGGCTCTGGGGCTGTCAGGTAAGATTCAACATTCTTGAATTGGCACACAATTGCAGTTGGTGGTATTTGCTTTTGGTAAAGGATGGTAACAAAAAAGTGCACAAGGATGACATTCATAGACTAATTGCAACCCAAAGGGTGGATTGGGGTTGAGGAAGGGGTTATGGCTGTTAAAGAAGGAGCGTTGGCACTCAAACCAAACTCCATTCAGAGTCTTCTCCCATCCTTGGGGTGTGTTATGCCTGGATGTGACAATGAGTGGTCCACATCGTTACTGTGTGTCAGTTACACAAGCTGATCTCTTTATAGTCTAGGTCTAGGATATGGTTCTGTTATAAATTACAACTCTTACAAATACAGATCTGATTAAGTAATGAAAAAAATATGATAACGTAACTATTATTAATCTCAGACACACACATACACACACCATCCGTCCTTCTCTCTTCTCCCAGTGCCCGTCAGAAACACAAGGCCAGTTCTCAGGACGAGCGGAAGAGTGGCTCCAGGCTCATCATCTTCATCATTGGAGGCATTAGCTACTCAGAGATGCGCTGTGCCTACCAGGTCACACAGTCCGTCAAGTCCTGTGAGGTCATCATAGGTGGGTAATAACAGCAGCAACTCTACCTGCTGTGCTGCAGGGCACCGTGGGTGAATCTCAATCTCTTGTTAGTTGCATCCTCTCTCATCGCCTCCAATGTGATCTTTTCCAATGCAAGGAGAGAGGACACAAAGAATTGAGAAGACTTTTGAGATTCAACCATCCATTCTCATTGTCCTTAACTACAGCCCAGTAACTGGACTAGTGCTTGACACCCCCTGCTGTACATAAATGGTAGTACAAAACAGGAGGTGATGAATGGGGGAACAAATGACAGTACAGTATGGGTCAGTCTTGAGCAGGGGCGCAACTTTCACTAGGGACGGGGGCCACATTCTGAAATTGCAGTTTTGTCCCCCCCAGTTTTATCATTGGAATGTGATACAAAACGAGGCAACGGTGTGCTTTAGGACCATGCGGACGCCTCCAAGCGGTCGGGTAGGCTGTTTGGAGTGTTTATCCGACTGGACAAAAAGAAATATATATATATAATTATGTCCCACCACATCTAAAACCAAAGTTGCACCCCTGGTCTTGAGTGTCAGGCAAAGCAACACTACAGAATGTTCTTCATCTGTGTGTCCTTTTATTTTGTTGTTATTTAACAAACATGTAATTGTTTTTTTATTCTCCAGGATCGTCCCACATTGTGACCCCCATGGAGCTCCTAGACGATATTCAGGCCCTGAGTAAACCAACCACCACCAAGGAGACCTTTACAATAGTGAAGGAGTGACCCACCCCGTATCCCTATACCCCTTCCCCAAACATAACACCCTCCCCCAAACCTGAGCACAGAGCACTCAACTTCCTCAATGGAAGACTGAAGGGAATTCATATTCTAGAGTTTAGTCATTAGCTATGTGTATTATTAGTACTTAACTTTTGGAACCTGGTGCATATTTGTAACATAACCGTTGTGCCCTACCCTAAAGTGCAGTTATTACCTTTTTATAAAATCTGTGTGTGGGTGCGTCTCAAATGGCACCCTTTATTCCCTATAAAGTGCACTACTTTTGATCAGGGCCCATAGGGCTCTGGTCAACTGTAGTGCACTGCTGGGGAATAGGGTGCCATTTGAGATGCACCCTGTGTTTTTGTTTTGTCTCGCCTTAAAACACTCATAATGTTCCATGTTGGAAAGCTTCTGAGAAATGCTTAGAGATGTAATTTGGATGAAAAGATATGGAGCTAAACTAATGTACATATTGATGTAAGCACTGTCTGTCTGCTGCTAGCTAAACCCTCTCTCCCCTCTGTTACTGTTTATTTTGTCATAGATTATTTACCTTTTCTTGTATTGAACAACTGATGAATAAATGGTTGACATGGTTCAATGGTGTCTTATTATTTGGAGTGAGACTCACTTTGATCACTTTGTTACTCAAAATCCAATTCTGCTATGAAAAACAACTATACTTTAGGGCTAGGGCAGTGGCTCTCATCCTGTTCCTGGGGACCTAAAGGGGGACACATTTATGTTTGTGCCCTAGCATTACACCCTTGATTCAAAGCTTGATGATGAGTTGATCATTTTAATCATCAGTGTAAGGCAAAAACTACAATGTGCACCTCTTTGGGACCCCAGGACGAGGATTGAGAACCACTGGGCTAGAGCCATCTACTGAAACACTCATTGTTATCTATGTTTTTATTACATGTGTATGATTCATCACCAAGAGCATCAATAATAGAATGTTGATCTATGGTGATACTGGCTATTGTTTGGGAGGTTTTGAGGAGACCTATGAAACATCTGAATAATGAAGAAGAAAAAAACAATCAGAACAACAGTAATGTGATCATCTGCAACACATGTACAGTCCTTTCCAGTGGGAAAGGAAGGGAAGCAGAGGTTCAATAGAGAAGGCAATAAGTGCAGCAGGGTTTTGTGTCTGAGGTATCTGGCTGGGCTGGGACATGGGTATCGGGTGGACAAAGTGTTCTCATACCTGAGAAAGAGACAATGCCCCCCCCCCCCCCCCCCCCCAGAGGATATGAGGCTTCTGTAATGTAATATATTGAATCTGCCCTACTTTTAGCCAGTCTCTCCAAATAATACAGTATCAGAGCCATGTTTTATATTGTCTCCCATTGATTGTTGGCGGTGAATCATTGCATTGGCTTATATAGGCTATATATTTTCAGCACTTGTATTATACAAAGGGATATATATGATGGAAGGGTATAGTCTGATCTTTAAGTGAGGAGAAAGTGAATGTAGGTAAGGGGACACGTGTTGGCCACTTGGCTTCACAGACTTCTATAAGGGTTGGCCTGCTTTTGGCCTGTCTCCTGTGGTATGCGGTGCTAGTGCGCCCTCTATTGACCTTTGGTTTATGCCTAGCTCTGCAATCTGACAACTTTTCTTTTGGATAAGAGCACAGTATAACACTTTCTGAATAGATAAGGATGGGTATATAAAATATGTAACATTCAATATATTAACAAAATGTTGTTTTCCCCTGCCTTTTGTTTTCAGATCTGTAAGCAGGTTTTCATCCAACCTTTTTATGCGAGTTAAGTGCATGTCGGATAAAAAAATTCTTGACAGGCCTGATTGAAACAGAACATTTTCCGGTAATCTTTCCAAATGTCGACAAAACAAAATACGCTAGACAAAGTGGGATCTTTTTGTGTCGTTAAAGTTCATTATGCGAGAAGTGTCGGTGGAAACGCTTTTATGCGCAAATATTTATATAATAACCATCATATCAAAGTAAACTTCGAGTCACGCGATGTTGTATGGTCCTCCCAATACGACCCAATACGAAGCATGCAGTTTAGGCTATTAGGCTACAGATTAAATAAATTATGAACTTCACAGGATGGTTAAAGTGCAAGGTGATGAGCTTGATGCTCCCTTCCAATAAATATCGAGGGTCTTATTCTGGTGACATGATCATCGACGCTTGGCTGCCGTTTGACAAATAAAAATAATCTAGCTCTTTTATCCATAATAGTCTCTACATGATACATTGTAACTGTATAGCCTGCCTGCGTGCTGCCGATACCAGAGTGGGCACATTCTTTGTGAGAATGAAAATGCGATGGAAACCCATTTAACTTGTATTTTTTATTCGGTACATGGGAATTTAACCGCACAAGGTATTTTCATGTGCATTATATTATCACGCACAGCCTTTAATCTGCAACAAGTCAATTTGATGGAAAAACGTCTCTGGGAAAATGCGCATGGGCTACTGTTTTTATTCGGATTTTAGAATATTCGCATGAAAATCTGTCGCCAATTGGATGGAAACCTAGTTTGTGGAGAGGAAACATCCCAAGTCTGCGACCTTATCTGTTGTGGTAATACTTCCATGGGCCAGCAGGGAGCAGATTTGGCTCACAAGTCTGTTTTTGAATAAATAGATAAAAAGAGATTGAACAACATTAATACTGCAGAGGACAATACTTCCTCACATTGTTGTTGTTAAATGAATTGAGATGTAAAGCAATGTATTAAGTGGTCCTGCATGTTATTACTTCCATTCAACTAATCCAGAGGCGTCTGAATCAGATTGAATGTCTTACTCAAATAGCCTACTGAACACACTCGACTAGAGTAGACCTCCAAGTCTACTGTCAGTAGTAGTCTAATGCCACCTTTGTTTCAAAGTAACCTTGAAAACAGCAACAGTAGAATAAAAGTCACAATGTATCATGTAGAGGTATGTTGAAATGTAATTGGTCATGGATGCAGTAGCTAGGTTTCCATCCAATTTTAAACAGATTTTCATGCGAATATCAAATCGGCATAAAACAATATGCGCATTTTCCCACCAGTGATGTGTTTTCATCAAACTGATTTTTGCGGATAAAAATGCTGTGCGTGATGACATAGTGCACATGAAAATAACCGTTGCTGTTAAATTCCCCTGTAACGAATGAAAAATACAAGTTAAACGGTGTCCATTGCATTTTCAAATCTATTGATGGTTTTGTCAAAAAACTGTTGCATTATATAGCAAATGTGCCCACTATGGTCTTGGCACGTGCGCACTAGCCAACAGCTCGCAGATAGGCTACAGTGCGGGTAGGCTACCTACATAATGATAATATTATGGATAAGAGCGATATTAGGCCTATTTGTATTTGTCAAACGGCTGCCAAGCATCGATCATTACCCTCGATATTTATTGGAAAGGAGCATCAAGCTCATCACCTTGCACATTCATCACCCTGTGAACTTCATCATAATTCATTTAATCTGTAGCATAATAAACTGCATGCTTTCCCGAGTCGTAGTAGGAGGAGCACAACATATCATCGCGTGACTCCAAATTTACTACGATATGATGGTTATTATATCAATATTTGTATTTGCGCATAAAGGCGTTTCGGAACACGCCATTTGTTGCATAATGAATTATATTGACACAAAAAGATCTCACCATGTCGAACGAACAAATTGTCTGTCGACATTTATAACATTGTACCGGGTATTTAACGTTTCCATCAGCCCAGTCGTTACTTTTCATGCATGAGGTAATTCATCCGTATGAAATGGTTGGATGGAAACTTGGTTAGTGTTAAAATTAGGCGTGGTTTAGCTTCAAAACCTCATTGGGATTTTTTTTTTTTTTTTTTGGGGGGGGGGGGGGGGGGGGGGGGGAGACGTAAGGAGGGAGGAATTTTTTTACTAGAGCAAGGTGTTCGCTAAACGTCTACTTGAAATTTTTTTATTGCATTTTCTAAAGTCTAAACCACTTTCAACGGCGAATCTGAATACACATAAGGTACGTTTGTTTAGTCTACTACGTGCCAGATGACTCCATGTATGACAACTTTTGCCGGTTAACTTTGGAGCACATAAATATATACACGGAAATGTAGGCGAAATACATGAATATGTAGGCTAGTATTGTATTGTGTATGTGTAGACTACTGACCTGGCCCGTTTCCCGATAGTGATGGAATGTATGACTGTTTTAAAGGTGCATATGACCTACAATAGTCCATGAGCCAGGGGGATCGGACGGGCTCACTTGGGCCGACGATGTCTCATAATGACTTTTTTGAAGGTCTATGTCCCTAGAGTTGGAAAATGTATGATAGCAGTGCAGCAATGGTAACTTTCTCTGTGTTATCACTCTTTCTTTCACCCCCCATCCCATAAATATTTCCCATAGGGATTTTACCCAATGACAAACAATGTCAGTATACAAGTTATTGCTCAATTATACCCTTTAATCATTTATCATTGGAAAACTTACATTCAAAGCTATCCATCAGACACATTTTCTGGAATGTTCAGGTAAACAGAACTTTGACCTCTAGGGTACATATCAGAATTACCTGTATAAATGGCTTTAAAAAGAAAACCCTAATACATTTTAAACTTTGTTTGACAAGTGGTTCTGAAAGGTCATGAAATTACATTTCAAATTATATATAAAATAATCAACTTTGAAAGCACCAGCTACAACTATTATTTTAAAAAATCGCCCATATTGTGCCATTGACATTAGAATTCTGAAAACCTGTTTTCGCTTTGTCATTATGGGGTATTGTGTGTAGATTGCTGAGGATTTGTTTAAAAAAAAATCCATTTTAGAATAAGGCTGTAATGTAACAAAATGTGGGAAAAGTCAAAGGGTCTGAATACTTTCCGAAGGCATTTTTTTCCCTTGACTTTTTCCACATTTTGTTGTGTTACAGCCTGAATTTAAAATTGATTAAATTGAGATGTTTTGTCACTGGCCTACACACAATATCCCATACTGTAAA